TTCTGAAGACTCACCATTGAATCGAGGAAGCGAAAGTTTAGGAAGTTTAGTTCTGTTTTCTAAATGCAAAGTTTTATTTCCTACGTGAACATTTTCTGGATTTACTGTTTGTTCACCTGACTGATATGGAACTTTTCTAATTGATTTAATTTTGTTTTGCAACTTTAACTGGTATTATGTTTTCGTTATATTCATCTACTGTGTTAATTTCATCCTTAATTTCTTGTTTTTCTTTCAACAATTCATAAATGTCACTATTTAGTATGTTAATAATTTCAATTTTACTGTTCAACTGTTCTAAATATGAATCACATACATCTATGTCAATATCTGATTCATTCAAATATTTTGTTTAATTTTTCTACTAACTTTAAAGATTGTTCACGATGTGTGTCACGCTTAGTTCGAAGCTTTAACAATTTAGCCATTTTCACAATTTCTAGCAACAAATTTTACCCCTCAAATACTTTAATAATAAATTCTAATTCTAGAATTCTAAGCAAACAAACTGTAATTTTCAACAACAAATCACACTTCAAAGCATTAACAACAAATTCTAATTCTAAGAAAGCACAACATTTTCTTACTTGCAAATATTCAGTAAATGCGAAACCTAAAGTTGTAAATTTTTACCAAACAAGATCAACAACATCAAACAACTTTACTTCAACAATTACAAAATATTCTATTCAAACAAATTTTCAACAAAACTATTTACTCACCCCACCATTACGATAATTCCCGGCGACAGCACCACATGTTACGAAGCGAACAACGATACGAATGCGTAGTTCGAAAGGCGAGTAATAACTTGACGATTGTTCGAACGCTAATTTTGTTTCAACGAGTTTGCATCAGTGGTAAATTTGACAAAAATACATGACGATATCTTTCATTTATATTTAATGAAAGCACCAAAATATATCACAGTAATACAGATACATCGCAACGGCGAACTACAGTTACATAATGTAAAAACACAGAAAAATTCTTTTGGCGCAACAGCGCCCTCTATACCATGAAAAATTCTAACAATTACGAACATTTTGCCATCGTGTTTTCACCTTACAAGGAACTGCAACAAGGACTATTCTGCTTATTATACGTTATCATATTATTTATATGTTATGTTTTTATGCTACGTTTATCACATATCTTGTTAGCCTGGGATAGGGCTCCGGAACCCGAGTTTCGTGGCCTGCAACCACCTAACATGCTGCACCTGCTTAAGGTTCATAACTGATGTCTCCCGCCCTTCTTACTCTTGTACTTGCACAATTGAGTTAAAAAAATAATACTGTCCTTCTAATCTTATACGTATGCATTGAGACGACGCCTCTGAACTAAATGTGTTTGAAAATTGTCTGAAAGAAGAGGATAAACAAATTATAACACCTCATATAAGATTATACACATTTTACATAGTAAAATTCTTTTGCAAATAGAAAAAGAAATATTTTTCGATTGTATTTACGAGCATTCAAATGTAGAAATTTAACAAATTTAAACTACTACCATTAATTTGCAAACAAAAAATACGTGATGGAAGAGTGTTCTATTATATGCTTTAATAAACTAACTGAAAAATTTGAAATTTTGGAAAACTCTGCTAAAAAGCTTTTAAATTTTTATTGAAATTGTACATATTTCCTTGTTTGTTACATTTTATTTAAGTAAACTTTAAATTGAAATTACATTAGGCTTCAAAATGTGCATACAAACACAAAATATCCTAGATAGAAAAGAAATATTATTAAAAAGGCCTTTGCATTTAGATATTTTCCATTCACAAAGATTGTAATAGTAGTTTCTTTATAACAAGAAAGTAGATAGTTTTAAATTTCCAAAGTTACTGTAATTTGTAAAGCGATAACTTACTGCATTTTTTATGTGATAATTGCAGATGGGCAGATATTTTTTTACTGTTTTAAATGTATACAGTTCAAACATTAGCATACTTTTATTACATTTATTCGAAGTAGTTATATTTACAATCTAATTAACTTTATAATAGAGAAAATTTTGTTTCCTTTACATATTATACATATATAACAGAAAAAGGAATGAGATTTAATTAAAATGCTATTTATATATCTGAAACTGCAAATTCTATAATAGTTTTCCAGTTTACATATTTCCTCTATTTTAATTTCTAAAACTATCGACTTCGGTGTATTTTGGACTGGGTTAATTCCGCAAAGAAAATGGTTTGCGTTTTGCTAATGTAAGTGCTAAATAAAACTAAAATAAATATTCATAGAAGGCTGCGAGTAAAAAATTTTGCAGACAGTTTATTTTATTTTGTACGTTTAAAGATTGCAATTATGCGATGGAAATTCGATTTCTTTCTCTTTCTTTGAATTTTTATCAGTAATATAGAACTGGTATTCGAATGAGATTCTAGAGAACTTAAATGCAAAACAAATCCGTAAATGGGGAAATATTAAGATTGAAATAAAAGGAAAAAATGTGAATTATGCATTAAGCACTGTATTCCATGAGCGTTTATAAATAAGTTTTTATTCTAAGCAGCGTACTCGGATTTTAAATTCTTAGCCATCGTAAAAAAACTATGTATTATAATTTAAAGTGCATTAGGTATTTGGATACTGCAAGCATGAAATGACTCAGAAAACAACTTTGAAAGTCAGTAACCAAGAAGAAAACATTAAGAAGTAAAACTTATAAGCATATTAATCGAATAAAAACAGATAAGGAGGTCCAGAATATTTTCTGATCGTCTTTTGTGCTATGCAAAGGAAAGTGCGGTAAAGAATCGAAAGATTGTTCTATATTTTCTTAAATTTTTAACTCTCTTTTTAAATTTTCCTCGAACATTTGCGGCAGTTTAACCGTAACTGGATTTTTTTACTATTATTCACTTCTTAAGTCTTTATTCAACTGCATTATTTTATATGCCTTTAATTATAAAGAAACTATATGTAACTGTAACTGCATCTATATGTCAGTAGAAAGTGATTTTTTGCCCTGCGGGCAGAATGACTTGGCGGGTGCAAAGCAAGACATCTGTCTACTTTGTCTGCCTTTCGCTAATGCTCGCTTGCAAAGCATACTTGTTGTAACTAATTTTTGTTAAATATAAAAATTATTATGTTGTGGAAATGACGAGGGATTTATTTACTTTAAGAGATTTACGTCTCTTCCAGTATAACGAGCAGGTGTTATGACCAGAGGCATATCCTGAATTTCTATGCAGGGCACGCTGCTGAACTCCAAATATTTCGAAAATTATATTAATAAATGGATATTAAAATTACATGTATTTGAGAGCTGAATATAGTATTTGCTTGTTAATATGTCGTTAAACATCATATAATAAGAAAAATAATTACATGCGTATAATAAATTTTAAATTTCTCAGATTTGTGTGCATCGCTTTAAAATTTAAAGCGGTTTAAATTTTAAATTGCCTTATTAGTACAACATATTCACATTTAAAGCAGTATTGTTTTCTACCAAAACATCTATAGGAAATCCATAAATCATTCGACAGATAATAAATGAAATTAAAAGTAAAAAAAAAAAAAAAAAAAAAAAAAAAAAAAACAACTAAATGTTTCTAGCGCAAAAGGAAAGATAAGCAAACAAAACATCATGCAACTTTATTCATTGATTTAAATAGTTTTTATTGCATTTAGTTCCTCTCAATAAACATCATTCTTCTCAAATTTCTAAATGCTAGCATAGTTGAGTAGATCAGTTAACACTGGTGTTTTGACCTTTTCCGATGAAAGAAAGGGCTACACGACAGTATCATCGCTTTCTCCTTGGACCAGATATAAACGATCCGGCTTCCTTCAGATTATTCTTCATGAAGTCATCCGTTCCCTTAATCATATAGTTCTCGTGTGATGTACATTAATGTTGGGACTCATCTCACTTGTCCGACGGAAGACATCTCACTTGTCGTCAGAACAAGTCCACGAAATTCATTGTGGCAAGGAGAGCAAAATTGCGCATATCGTTAGCAAGAGCCTTAAGCAACAACTGATAGTACGAATACGCTCCGTTCCGTCCCCAATTTCGATGAAAACACCCCAGGGTTTCTTCCTTCAACGAGGGAACATTTTAGCAAATTATCTCTGTCTGTCTCAAAATTCTGGTTGCGCAAAATCCACAAGGAACTATCATATATAACAATGCGATGCAGATGTTTAGCGAGACCATTATGTCCGATCTCCAAACGGAGCACCCCAACTACAATGAATCTGGAAGAGGCCGGAATATTTCAAATCGAATCCCTCCACTTTTTATTATTAATTTCTAAGTAATTTAACATGAAAGTTTTTCCTCATAACATATTTTACTATTCTTTCCACTGATGTAAATGGTGCCGTATTTATTATTATTATTATTTTATTAAGTCTTATTTGATTGCAAAATTTCATTTCCTTTTGTTGTTGTTGTCTTGTCCATGAATTTCATAGAAGAATGTTTGTCAGAGTCTCAGGAAGTTGCACTTTCAGGGTCTTGTAACTGTTAAACACCCATTTATAAAAATAAATTCTTTTAATAAATCAAAGTGTGTATATAGCGTTAGAATAACATTAATCTCAGCGATGAATAAATCATTTAATATTCCTAAATAATTATCGTTATAATATATACGATTGGGAAAATAGTGTTACGTATCCAGAAAATCCGAGATTTATGTTCATAACTGTGGGTCTTAAATGACCGATCATCCTGTTAAGGTGCTTCTAAACGTTGCCACTTAGTTACTGTCCTTCCAATCGTAGCCAAACTTTGCGATATTTTGTCTGTATGAACACTAAATTGTAGCTGTAATAGATGTATAACTTGCTGCAAAAGGTCATAAAGTGAACGATATTTTCTGAAATAAAAATTTTAGAATAATTACCAATTCGTTTAAGTAATAAATGTTTATATAATTTCATTGCATTGCGAAATATTCTACGAGGAGTTCAACGAATTTCAAAGTACTCTATTCATTACATACCTTGAAATGTAAAACTTACCTCTTGCCATAGGAGATATCATGAGAAAATTTACACAAGCGGCTCCATGTCCTTGACCGAACAACGTAACGTTGTTCGCGTCTCCTCCGAATTCTGCAATATTTTCTTGAATCCAGTGCAGTGCTGCTACTTGATCCATTAAACCATAATTGCCCCTAGCCGTTCCATCGAATGCGGGTAAGAAGCCTGTAAAAGTGAAAAGAATTAAAATGTAAAATTTTTAAGCATGTAGACACTTGTAAAATATTTCAGTATTTACTGCAATATCATCTGATCTAATGCTGCTTTTGACCTTTCTATCATTGTATTATATTATTGTCTGTTACATAGTACTATTCGGTCCATATCTGATGGATTTATTAAAGAAACAACCCGGCCGATTCTAAGCATAAAAAAAAAAAAAAAAAAAAAAAAAAAGAATCGGAAAGCGTTTTTATTGAAAAGACATGATGCAGAGCTCCATAAACTCGATAAACCACTTAATTTGTTCACGTAATCCCTGAATCTGAAACTGTTTTAATATTTTGATTTATTCAATAATTATTTATGTTTACAATTTATGAATTCGAAAAAACTTTTGCATCTTTAGTCATAAATTATCGTTTAAAAATAATAAATACGTACACTGCGGGGAAAAAAAATGTGACAGTTCTGTATCTTCCGTTCTACTGGGCCGATTCACGAAATTCAAATTGCGTTTCACATGTCTCGAAAGCACAACGTAGGATATATATTAGATTTATATATAGCACTAATCTAACATAAATATTTTGACACAAAATCGATCTTTTTCTGAAATAACACACAAGTTGCTTCCATATTATGATTCTACATCTCAACTTATGCTTAGATATAAAATTTTGTAAGTTTTGGTGTGAAATTTATGAAGAAATTTAAAATTTTATCTTGGCCCATTTTTTTCAGATTGCTCCAAGAACAATTCACTTGGCGGAATTCTTAATTTATAATATAACCTGCTTCTTTTCTTTATTTTTCATTGATAAACGAGAGGAAAAAAGATCCATCATTCATTTTTTCAAATAATTTTAACAAACAACATTTTCCTTATTATTGTTTATATTAAGTACCCCAAATTTCAAAACACGCCAAAATGGGAATTCACGTATATCTGAGTAAATTTTGAATAAAAAACTCTAATTTTTTGCAGATATGCTTAGAAATGCATCTACTTTAAGATGATGTTAAAACTTTTATAGGTTATAGTACAAAAATGTTTTTGAATTTTTAAAAAAAAAACTATTTTAAAATACAAATTTTTAAAATAATCAATAAAACATGTGCGAATTCTGGAAGAAGAAATCAAGTAAGTTTAATAAAAAAGAGATATTAATAAATATATATCACATTCAATTAACATTGAGGAGCTAAAATTTTGAGGGCTAATTTTCAAAAAACTACTCATGCGATATTTACAAAATTATTTTGGCATAATTTGAGTCCTAGAATCAAAATATGGAAAAACATGCCATGTCATTCCAGAAAAAGTCCGATTTTGTGTCAAAATACCTATATTAAAACAATGCTATATATAAATCTAATACACATCCTAAGTCGCGCTTTCGAGACATAAAATATGCAAGTTGAATTTCGTCCATCGGCCCAGTAGAACCGGAGATGCAGAACTGTTCCCCCCCCCTTTTTTTCGCAGAGAACATACGTATGTGTGCAGTTATGTTTCATGTGATCCCCAGGTAACAGCACTAAATGATATTTGTATGCGCATGTCGTTAAATCGCTTTCACCCAAGCATCGTAAATGTGAATTTGTAATTTTTTTTTTATTTAAAACGGCTAGGCAAAAGTTACGAAGTTATAAACAAAGGTTCGAAACAATAGAACTAAGAACTAAAAGACAGAAGTCATTGTCTAAAGAGCATTCTTGCGTCCCAGTACCTCGACTCTTCTGTAACCCGGAAGAGCCCCCCATCAGAGCAGTTGATCCCTGTCCATTTCATCTCCAGAATCATAAAGTGGGCAAATAGGATCGGTTGAAACACCTATGCTGCGTAGGTGGCCGACAAGGCAATCATGTGCTGTAGGCAAACGGAGAGAGGGCAACTGCATTGCGGCTTGGACTATAGGGAATAAGAGGACTTAACCTCCTCCAAAGTTTTAAGACCGTACGAGTCTGAAGATCTAGTAAGATTCTATTTTAACTTCGCTAATATTTCTTTATGCTTGATCAGACAGCCTGGCTCAGTAAAAGTAGGCGGCCAGTGCAACTCTGATTAAAAATCTAGTTATAACCACGTGCAGTGCTGATAAGCACCACGTGTTTCTGTGATTCCTATTTTCTTCTTTCTATGTATTTCTTTCTCCTGATGAGGAGGGACCTTTAGCTGCCCTCGAAATCGATTGAGTGTTTCATTATACCTACGCTAAATATAAGGTTGTTTTTTACGATTTTGATTGTCACATTAGCGTGTTTCTCTTCTAGTCTATCTAGTAAGATGTTAGATGTAAATATCTTTAAAAAACAGTTTAATTCCCCAATACGAAATGACTGTATTAAGATGTTAAAATAAGCTGGCACCTCTTTTCGCAAGGAAACTGCTTCTTCATTACCACAACAGCCACAATAACCAGGCACTCACTGAAGAATGATTTGTTTCCCGCTTAAAGTGAGAGTTCTCATGAATACTTGAAACCGTTACAAGTTTGCAAAGGCAGTCATTTTTGTTTTATGATCTTCACGCAGCCATTCAAATATTTAGCTGTGTCGAACATCCATTCACACCAGAATGTTTGCAATGACTTTGTAATATTTCGTAGTTAAAAATGTATTAAATTATATGAACGATATTTATATGAAGGCTATGAAAGCTATGAGTCCTTCCAATAAAGTAAAATATTTCATCAGAAATTATGCTAAAAGAGCAAAATCATTTCAGTTATGCAATACTATAGTATTATCCCGCAATTTAAAGGATTCTAAGCCTAATATCTAACTGCGAAATGGATTAAAAATTTTTAGCATTAATAAATCATGCTCTATCGCATGCAAATAACCCAAATTACTTGTACAATTAAACAACCGAAGCATAATTTCACTGTGTTTAAACCAGTAATTAAATTTATTTCCCATATCCATGGCAATTAAGCTAATTGATTTAACTCTTCAAAATCCCAAAATTGCTGACAAAATTCTGACGGGAAACTGCAATCTTGTAACATAAGGTGGTCTTCATTCAAGATCGAAACGTCAATTTCCGTTTTCTCTGAAATCATAAAACAAAAGGAATGAATGCTCGTAATAATGTATTTCATACTTAATGAACTGTAGTCAATTTGTTACTGATGAGAAACTGAAAACAAAGGCTTCCAAAGATCTACTAGCGAGAGGTTAATAAGGCGAATTAACGACAGAAGAGAAAGAGTAATTACCCTTTGTGGAGAAAGGACGTTATGTTGTAAGTTCCCGTAGTACGCAGCTTTTGACGGGAGCTTTCCACTTTAATTGGCTGTTAAATAAATCGATTAGAAAGTTTAATTGCTGGAATGACTTGTTCGACAAAAACTCCAAGTAATTAATTATTTTCCACTTGAGATAATAATTAGCAAAATCGATGGAAGAAAAGTAATTCTGCTTCAAAGCAAAAGAAGTAATCGTTAAGATATTTATTGGTACATTCATAACGCAATGATTCACTTTAAGAGAATTTACTTTAAATTATACTTACAACTGCCTAAGTCTCATTAAATTTCAATTAATCTTCAAAAAGAAAAATTCCCTTATCTCTAAAAGAATGATTCATGCATTCACTAACGCGAAATGTGTATGCAGGTATGTATATTCTTTCTAATCTATAAACTAACTTTTATGCTCATTACTAAACGAAAAGAACTGAAATTTTAGCTAATTATAATATTAGTAATTTTTTATATTCAAAATCCAGATGCACTGTAATGAAGCACAAAACTCTTTTATGTAAATGCAATTAAGGTGTTTTATAGGTAAATAGTAAGGTGTGCAAGAAAAACATTTCTACAGGTTTCTTTTTAATATTAAATTCGTCAACTAGCATTTGAGTGTGTTAAAAAATGTGAAAATATTATATAATTTTTGAACTTATTAAAATACAAGTTAAATAACAAAGCATTGAAAGCGGATTTGCTTTTGCTGTTGACTATATTTATTTGATATCCCTTTAGTTATGCTTTATTTAACACAGGTTCAGAGCAAGAACATTTAAGATCAATGGTAATATCTTAACTTAATCACGTAAATTTTACAACGAATCGTCCCTAAAATTTTACTTTTCGTTTTCCATCTGAAAACCAGAGAAGTATCTTTTTATTTTCTCAATATTCATTGCATCAGACAAATGTCTAACTTATTTTTTTTTCGAATTTGGAGTCCAATAAAACAGGCTTTCGTTTAATTATATGTACTAAGCATCGAACAATATGCTGGCAAACAAATATAATAAACTAAAATTTAAAGAGAATAAAAAAGTTTTCTTGTTTTTTGAGATTAGATACCCGAAATTGTTACCGTATATAACGTTAGTTACGATAATGGGTACTTATCCTCCACGCAACATAGTTAGAATTGTCATTAGAAATTAAATGCCGTTAATTTATTTCTCACGCTTTATGGTAAGTAACCGTTATTCGGAGAGGGATCATATAGCATGGTCTACTATGTTGTAATTCTCTTTCAAATTGTGATTGCAATCGTTTAAAAATTGAGCTATTTCAAAGCAATAAACACATTTTGTAATAAAGTAAATCTTTATATTTTGGATATCTATCTGATATGACTTGCAATTAATATAATTTATGTAGCTCAAAAATAATAATTTTCATGAACATTTGCACTTTTATTGAAGTTTATAAAAGAGGTTTTTATAGAGGAGGTTTCTAATGCCAAACGCAAACATTTACATACCGTTTGGTTTATTGAGATTACGACAAAGCACACTAGAGCTATCTGCTTAAGGGGAAGGTGGTCTTCGTGGAGGAGTTTCTAAAGGGAAACTGGCTCGTATACACGTTACACATGTGGAAAACCACGAAACCACCCATGTAGTTAGCTCGCTCCCGGGACACTTAGATACCGATACGCACTGCTAGCAAACATTTGATCAGTGCATTGCTTTTTACAGCGATTGAAATTAAATTCTACATGCAAGGAATGAACTTTACTTAATTGCGTTATTTTATTTATTTATTTATTTTTTACGTTTTGATTGAGAAATATATTCCCATTTTACCAGTAACATTATAAGGAAAAAACGTTTTTACAAATGTATGGAAACTGCTAATTTTTTGTAACATCTCTCCCTCTCTCATTTTAAATACATATATATATATAGAGAGAGAGAGCAAAAGATATATAGAAATATAGCTAGATAAATTGTCAATGCACTAGTAAATACTGGGTGAACCGGAGAAAAAATGTCATTATTTTCTTATTAATTAGACCAAATTAGATATTAAACCATTTGTCATAAGCTATTTTAAATTTTTATTTCTTTCTCTTATCTATAAGACTCCAATTTTCATTAGTTTTTGCTTTCTGAATATGAAAATCAAACGTGTATCTCGATATCACCTTCTTTTTTTAAAAAAAGTGGAAAAGCCACTTACAGCTATTTAAAAGCAAATACACTGC